GGCCGATAATCGCTTTGGGAAGTTTGATCGGCGGTCTCTATAAAGGCCGATCTCAAGCTGACGACGCACCTGCAGTGAGAGGTTTGGCATGACATCTCAAACTCTGTCCGGCACGGGTAAAATAATTATAATGCTGAAGGTGAGGTACAATTTATATTTCTTTATTAAATAACTAAAAAAGTACATTTAAAATTTTCTGAGACATAATTTCACAAACAGCATGAGTGAATCACTGCTTGCTCTCTCTCTTGAGCTCAAAATGCGCAAATGGCTTCAAATCACAACAACGCGTCTGCACTATAAGCGAGCTGCACAATTGACACAGGAATTGTCACTTGCACAATCGAGACAGTGTCACTAAAGTTTATTATTTGCTTATATATATAATTTGCAAGTATTGCCAGTGTTTAAACCGCTCAGAACTTGTGCACTCTTCAGAGACGGAGCGCTCATGCACACTCAAAGCGCACACATATAAGGCCACCTCACATACAGCTCATGAAATCAGGCTTGCACTGTGTAAGCTACCGTGCAGCAATTGCCCCATTGTAAAGACAAAAATGCACTGCATTTAGGTGAGATCATTTTAGAATTTTTGAAAAATGTCTGAAAAAAATCCTGATCAGAGCACCCTTAGAATTCAGTGTACTAAATTGTGTAATATTTCTACATTGAAATTTCCTGTCAGCGTGTTATTTGAGCGGGCTTTGCTTTTCTGGTACACAAGCACATTCATAGGAATATTGAGTGGAGCGACAAACCGCACAGTGACGAGGAGAGTGAAACCTGCACGGTGAACACTGCCGGGCGGAGCGCCATATACTGTATATTATTACATGTATATTTTCGGCCGTTTTTCTCTTTCGGCCAAAAACCGAAAGTGCCATTTTCGGCGGCCGAAAATTCGGTGCATCTAGAGTTCGACCGATTGATCGGCCGATTTTTGGCATTTTCTAAATTAATCGGCATCGGCCGATTGTGCTGCAAATTAGGCCGATTTATAGGCAGGCGCACTGGCGGGCAGCTAAGCGTTGTTGTGGAACTCCCTCTGGCTGCGTGAGACTGATAGGGATGGGCGATACCCCTTGTTTTGTTTTCGATACGATACCGATATTTTTCAAGGCAGTATCGTCGATATCGAAACCGATTCGATACTTCTGCACTAAACTTTTAAATTATGAAATGTATTAAATTATTAAATTACTAAGAGTAAAATGGGTAATGAAAACCACTTAACTTTGTTTAAAACGCATTTTAACCCGTTTAATCCCACATTTTTCCCAGACATGAAAATATCCAAATGATGCATCATTAGTAACCCTTTGAAATAAACAATATTTTTTTACATTTTTTTTTTGGAAAAGTGTGTGAAAAATTTTATTTTATGGTCAGTCACAATTGTAACCGGTGGGATAATGTGTATACTGAATTAACATATTTCTGCAGTCATAAAAATTGTTATATATCTTAGCCCAGCTATTTTAAACTGTTTGATCACATTCTAGGGTTACTATTATGCATAAAAAACCCTTATACAAAATTGATAGGAATACTGTGATCAAATACAACCATCAACGTATTTCAAAATGTTTACTTTTTTGTAACATACATCATCACATTTTTATATTAGTGCTACCAGTATTACAACATTAATATTTTAACTTATTCGTAACATTTTAACTTTTGATTTAGTGCAATATTTTGTACTGCCATTAGGGACTGCCAGTGAATGGCTGTTGCATGCATAAAATGCAACCATTTTATTCGGACAGTGTATGATTTCTATTAACATTACAGAATAGAACATGATCAATATTATCTTTCAACGTTCAATTTAAATAATTGTAATTGCACAAACTATGTAGGCTACAATTTCAATTTGTTTATTGTGAAATAACTCAAACATTTATGTTTTTATTTCTGTTCTCTGATAAGCACTGTTCAGGGCTGCCATTCCCAAAAGCTTTAATGCTTTCTTATGATACTTTTGGGAAACGCAGCCCAGTTTGAATGCACTCTCAGCAGTGAGTGAATGCGCTCTGTGATTGATTGGTTCTGTCTTGCAACATTTGCGTGTGTTCAGATGAGCAGGAAAATAGTTCTATCCTACACAATTACTCGCTAACAAAGGTTATTCGTCCAATTCAATGCATATTGTACGCATTATTATTATTATTCTTATTATTTTTGTTAAATAAACAAAACCACTGGTAAATAAAGTGCACCTTAGTATCGATATTTTTTGTTTGAGTATCGATACTCGTGTCAGTATCGATATATCGATACTTCGGATCGATAAGCCCATCCCTAGCTATCAGGCATTTTATTCAATGAAGTATAAGCCTTTTGGAAAATCTATTTGTGGTGGTCGGTTTTGATATTGTGATGAGCTGCCACAAATAACTCAATGTATAGGAAACACTGGACACTGCTGTAAGACAAATGGCCATAGTGATAACAAAAATAAAAGATTTCACGCATATTGCACTGCCTGCTGCTTTTAACTGCGTAAGAGTGCGCTGGCCACGAGCGAATATATGACAAAGTGGATGCTATTGTCGGACCCACAGACACATTTCATGAGGAAAGTTAACGTGCACGTTATAATCAGCCCAGAAGTTTCATCTGAATTGAATGTGTTTCTACTTTCACATGCAAATGACTTGTTGCACTTATGAATATGAACTCTCCGGCATCAATTCTAGTAGGGTAAAACGTAATTCCGCTTTCGAAACTGTCTGTTTTGCCCTGCCATTAGCTGAAGCTGTGTGTGAACAAGTTGTTAAATAAACAAAACCACTGGTAAATAAAGTGCACCTTAGTATCGATATTTTTTGTTTGAGTATCGATACTCGTGTCAGTATCGATATATCGATACTTCGGATCGATAAGCCCATCCCTAGCTATCAGGCATTTTATTCAATGAAGTATAAGCCTTTTGGAAAATCTATTTGTGGTGGTCGGTTTTGATATTGTGATGAGCTGCCACAAATAACTCAATGTATAGGAAACACTGGACACTGCTGTAAGACAAATGGCCATAGTGATAACAAAAATAAAAGATTTCACGCATATTGCACTGCCTGCTGCTTTTAACTGCGTAAGAGTGCGCTGGCCACGAGCGAATATATGAAGCCTGCAGAGTGTGAAAATCAGCCAAACATATCGGCATCATATATCGGCCATCGGCTGCCCTGATTTCTAAATATCGGCATCAGCCAGTGAAAAACCCATATCGGTCGACTTCTAATAAAAAGTGCTCTATAATACTAGGGGTGTAACGATGAGCCGCGTTCCGGTTGACTTTCGTCTGAATTGAACGTGTTTTTACATTCAAGTGCAAATGACTTGTTGCATCCATGAATATTATAACTTTCCGGCATCAATTCTAGTAGTGTAAAACGTAATCCCGCTTTCGAAACGGTCTGTTTTGCCCTGCCATTAGCTGACTCTTTGAACTATCAGAGTACTGAAAAAAAAATTCACTTTCAATTTCCACACAATTATTAAGCAGCACAACAGTTTCTGAAGGATCGTGTGACTCTGAAGGCTGGAGTAATGGCTGCTGAAAATTCAGCCTTTCCATCACTATATAAATGACATCTTAAAATACATTAACAGAAAATTTTGTACAAATAGAAATTAATATTCCAAAATTTTCCAATTCTTACTGTAATCAAATTAATGCAGCTGTGGTCATCAAGACACAAAAAAGACATGACAAAAAAAAATAAAAAATCTAACATTAAGTTACTTTACAAACAGAAACCCAGAGTGGAGCTGGAGTGAAGTGACTGTGGAATGTTTTGAGCAGGGACGGGAAGTTGCTGATTTTATTCTGCTCACATACTCATCACAGATTATTCAATCATCACAAAAAGGGTGTCAGACTGTTAAGACAAATAGATATCTAAAGTTCTAATCATTGACCCTTACCCTCTGACCCTTGCTGTCCCCTCCTGTGTATCCTTTCGATGGATGTCTCAGCTGAGCTTCCAGATTCTTTATTTCCTGCTGGAATTCATCTCTCTCATGCTCCCGCTCCACTGCTTGTTCCTGTACATAAGAGGAAAAGAGGCACAGTCATTTATTTCCCTTAGCTCACATTCACCTTCTCTGGTGCTGAATTTCAGACACTTGAATAAACTGCTGGAAACACTCACATCTATGAACTGGCGGTTATGTTTGAGTTGTTTCTCCAGAGCATCAATGTGTTGCTGCAGGTCCTCAGTCTGCAGGCGGTGCTGTTCCTCCAGCTGATGCGCACGGCTCTCCTGCTCCTCCAGGGCCTGTTCCAGCATCTGCAGACGAGACGCCAAACCACCGCAATCCTTCTCCGCCTGCCGCTGCACCTCCACACACTCCTGCCCCAGACGCTCAGCCTCCACTAGCAGAGCTGCACAGAACCCAGGAGGACCAATGAATAAAATGAATGAGTAACAGCAGAGTTCATGTCAACAAAACACACAAACTGCAAATGCAAATTAAGATGCAAACAAGCACAGGAGCTCCAGATCTTTATGCATTCTCAATGCACAAATAAAGCACCGCAAACTGGATCAAGAAGAAATTGGCAAAGAAAGACTCATAAGAGACATTAACCAGTATTTAGACCTTCAAAGCCAAAAGTTTAGAACAAGTTAAACTGCAAAAAAACATCACAGGATAAGCAAAAGTGTTAATACACCACAAATTTAAAAATAAAAAAAATTTGCAAACTTCATCAGGAATGGATGCATTTAGTGTCAAACTGTACAAGTAATTTTTCAACTCAAACATTTGCTTCAGTCGCAGATTATCATCACAAACCTGTCTCTTCCTCTGCGTTGAGGAAGCCTACAGAGCAGAAAGAATTCGTAGCATGAAACTAAACCCTTCATCACAAATCACACAATCTTAAAATTTTCACTCTGTGTTAGGTGTGTAATATTGACAAAAAATACCTCTATATTTTACGGCATTTTGTCGATAACAATTAGACAATATTTTGCCAAGTGTGTTTTGGTGCTGGTACCTTTGCTGGTTCGGGCCTGTCGTGGACAGCCGACTCCAGAAAATGTACATATTCGGTGCAGTGGTTAGTTCACAGAAATGACACATTTTTCCACTACAAGGCAATATTTTCCCCCCTTAAGGCCTTTCCACACTGAGCGCGATGCGAAAAAGCGAGGCGAATCGCCGAGGAACAGTGCTTTCACACAGAATGCGAAACGATTGTTCGCCTTCTGCTAATTCACGCCTGCACGCTAGGTGGCGCCGACCAGCAATGCATTTTTCCTTAAATATGCATCTCGTAAATGGATTTAACATCATCCGCTGCTCAATATACAGCATTAAATTAAGATAAATAAGGTTCTACACCAGAAACAAACTATCTATAATGCTTACAAGAATAGGTTACATCCTAAAATATAATTAGAAGTACAATTAGCATCAAGCTACACTTGAAAATGTATGTAATTATTAATGTATTTGTTTACCCACTTTAAACCATCATCGAGTGCTTGTAATAACTTCCAATTGTGATCTATAATAGTTGATTTTGATTAATAAGCAGACACATGCACTCTTAGTATGTTTAATAACGCTACACTGCTAATATTTGTCAAACATCTTTATTGCTATAAAAATACCATGAGCTGCATACAAAACATACAGAAAATATATCGTCATAACCATGTCTATTTGCTTCATATTTCATGTGTAGAAAAAGAGTGAACGTGCTCTGACTCATAACACTCATGCACGTGGAAGAAAACGGATGGTGCTCTACTGTGATTACATAGTTCAGTGGGCAATTAATAGAAATGTTATTTTGTATAAAGCATGTCAGCTTAAATCATGGCCCTAAAGCCTTCCTCTCTCACCCTTCTCAGTATCTCCGAGGCCGGCCGTAAGGGCTTCTCTCTGACGCAGGAGGAGGGTGTGATTTTCACTGAGCTGGTGCAGTTGGATGCGTGTGCTCTCCAGCTCCTCTGCCAGACGCTGCTGCTGCATCTCTTTCTGCTGAAGGGCCTCCTCCAAAGAGGCTTTCTCAGCTACGTAGCCTTCCATCAGACCTGGAGACACACATGGACAGCAAATGAGAAGTCATAAGAGTATGAAACCGAGATACGAATACAACTGACCATATATAGGTATTCTGACCTTCGGCCTTGTGCAGCTCCAGTTGTAACTGGCTCTTCAGGCTGGCCTCATGATCCAGCTGCTCCAGGAGCCGAGAGTTCTGAAACAGCAGAGACGCTCCGGCCTCACCGCCATCTCTGAACC